TCACTTCTTTCTACTCGGTGTAAAACCCCCGTCGCTTCGCAGCTACCTGAACGGCGAAGGGTAGAGTGTGGGTTGATAGGCTGTAAGTGTCAGTGGCATGGGGTGATGGTCGGGGGCGCTGGCAGAAGGTGCCGCTGAGACTCTAGTAGTAACGAATGGCATGCTCGCTGATATGTTTGCAGAGAAGCTGAAAGCTGATGCGGAGGTCATACTTGAGAAGGGTGATCACGTCTTCAAGAGGGCTGCGTTCGTCCACAGGCTCGGTTAGCTGTACCACGTGAATAACGGGAGTATTGAACTTCATTCAAATGTGCTTCATCACCCAACGCGGTGCGCTGAAACTCACTGCCCGTCTACAGCAGCTCAACCACGGCATCACGCCTGAAGACGTAGTCCTGAATACTTTCGCTTGGCCACTCTCGAGATGCACGTGACGATAAACCTATCGTGAACCCTGTGTTTGAACACTGCATGTCAAGAAACATGACACCCGACTGGCTACCAGTGATGCACCACAACCCGAATCCCGTCTAGCAACAACAAGCAAGGGACAGACTCAAACCGAGGCAGCCACGAACGAAAATTTGCATGCCCTACGTCCACCACGAGGCGGCGGGTTGTTCTTGCGGCCCTCAATTGGCAGGGCCGGAGTAGCGGTAGACATACGTGACGTTTGTTTCGCGTCGGTAGTAGCGTCTCATCGGAGCAACCATAGCCGGCATGAAGCGAAGATTACAAATGTCTACCGCTACTCCACAATCGGAAGACAGCAATGGCTAAGAAGTGCAGAAACACCAAGGCGAAAACGAAAGAAACAATACAGGACGCAAGCAACCCACGGTACCATGCAGTGACGGAGTAGCGGTAGACATGTGTGATGTTTGTTTCATGTCGGTAGTGACCTCTTCACTGGGGAAGCTATTGCCGGCATGAAGCAAAGAGCGCAGATGTCTGATGGTACATCCGCCACCGGCATAAGGCAGCGAGCTAAAATACAGAAACATCGTAGAAGAAAGGACAAAGAAAGACAAGAAGACAAACGCAAACATTACAAAGGGGAAAAAAATAGAAATATAACTGCAAGAAGTGGGGGGTGGGCGGGGGCGAAGCCAGTCCGTTCCAACCTTGTAACAGAGTCAGCCGTGAGCCATGGATGAAGGCAGGATGACGTTATAGCCGCTCCCCCCGAGGCACAACAACACCAAAAAAAAAATCCGGCAACCACGCCGCAGGGGCAACAGCCGGTATGTGTATGTTGGGGGTGGGCTGGGGGGTGGGGCGGGAGATTCAGGGTCTCCAGGAGACTCTCCCCTTAACACACGAAGAAAACACGCATTAGGGAACAGGAATGTCGAGGACGCAGGTGTGGGAACGCCCACGTCCAACTAAGCAACAGGTGGGGCGATAAGGCTGGAGCGCGCAAGAGGCGTCCTTTGTAGTCAAAATCCGTTCGCACTAGACTACAAAGACGACAGCAAGCGAACGTCGACGAGCGGAAAATAACTGCAGGGTAGCGCACATAGAGGGGATATTCAAGAGAGAAACAAACATGGCAGCGAAACGCGAAACGCGAAACGCACGCCGTTGGGCCCAAGCCGCAGGGGGGGGGGGGTGAGACGACGTCTGGCAATCCCAGAAAACGAAGACACGCAAGGTCCAACCGGCGACCCGATATAGTGCACGCAGGCACCTCCTCCATCGTACACACTCTCCGAAAGCGCTTCAATACACCACACTGGCAGACGGACAAAAGACAAAACACAAGACACGAAGGACAAAGATGACGCCAGAGTACCTTTGAGGGGAGGCAGATGAACCACCTAGCTCTAGACTGGTCTCCAAGCCGGCTGCACGAAATTCGAACTGCCGCTCTTAATCCCTGTCCCAGCTCTCCGCCCCCCACGCTCTGGCCTCCGGAATAAGCCCCCCCGCCTAACCCCGACAGGACGCTTCTCATTGCCGCCAGCATCCGGGGCTCGACCGCCTCCCGTTCCACGCCCCCCAGTCACCCGGCCTCCCGAAGGCGCCCCCCTAAACCCGCCCGCACCCACCCGCGCTACTGGAGTCTGCTGCCTAGCCCCCTGTTCTCGCGAAAAACCTGGGAGAACAGCGGGAGGGGGTATTCCCACCGCAGGTGGGGCACCCGCCGGGGACGCCGCTGCGGCGGCAGCTGGCGCCGGAGCTGGCGGCGGCGGCCGCGGTGATGAGGTCGCCGCGGCAGCGGTAGCTTGAGGTGCCACCGGAGTAGTCGGCGGCGGCGCCCAAGGAGCTGTCGCCGCCCCCATTGAATGTCCTCCTGGCTGTCCCACGCCGATTTTGGCCGCAATACTTTGCAACAACCCCAACCCTTGCTGGGACTGCTGCAGACTCTGCTCGGCCATGTCGTGACTGCGTTGCGCGAGCTGAGTGTTGTGCGCAACCTGTGCCCTAAGCGCATCGAGTTCGGCGGGCGCGGGCGGTTGCTGCTGAGGGTTCGGTCTGTCCACCAACTTGGTCACAGCCATCTTCATCAAGTCCATTATCTCCGAGCTACCACCCGAGACGCCACCTGGGGTTCCGCGAAACTTCTGCTTTCGCACGCCTCCCCCCCTCCCGGAGCGCACCTTCCGACCCGCCTTGCCCGCGGAGAGCTCCGTCGCCTCCTCGTCGTCGAGCTCGAACTGGCCTTGTCCGTCGCTGCCTTCATCCCCATGCCTTAACCCTGAGGCAGAAGACTCGTCGCCATCATCGTAGTCCCCCTGCCCGCCGCCACCAAAGTCCTCGTCCTCGCCACGGGGGTCCTCGGGATCTTCCACTAGCTCCTCCACGTCGTCTGTCCCACCACTGTTTCCCCTCCGCGCGAAGTAGTCTTCTGCCTGTTCGTCATTCAGAACGCCGTCCAAATCGAATAAGCCGACTGATGATGAGGCGCGCCCACGGCCGCGTGCGCCGCAACCACGTACAGCCCCAGCCCCCATTCTGGGGCGTCCACCCCTAGCGGAGACATGCCTACGTCCGACCGCGCCTCCCGCGCCCGAGGACGTGCCTCGCCCACCCGCGGTGGAACCAAGACCACGCCCCCCCCCAGCAGAGCCCCGTCCTGTGGCAGGAGCTCTGCGAGGGGCGGAGCCGGTGGCGGAGCCGCCGCCTGCGGCGACTCCCCTCCCCCCGCGAGCAGAGAGACCGCCCCTGCCTCCGCCTGCTGAGGGCGCGGAGGACCTCCAAGAACCTCCGCCGTAGGCAGCGCGGTCACGTTCGGCCTTGGCGGCCGCTACTTGCTCCTTCGCGGCGACGTCCCCCGCCATCGCCTGCTCCTTTGCAGCTTGTTGTAGCTTGATGGACGATATGAGCTGGTACTTCTGGAGCGGAAACGCAGGCGATGTAGGCATGAGCCACGGATGAAAAAAAAACAAAAANCGCCTGCTCCTTTGCAGCTTGTTGTAGCTTGATGGACGATATGAGCTGGTACTTCTGGAGCGGAAACGCAGGCGATGTAGGCATGAGCCACGGATGAAAAAAAAACAAAAAAAATAGGAACAGAGTTAGGATACGGCGCGTTGCTCCACTCACCAACCAAACACCAACAAACAGACTGTCGGCATTGTTGCACGTGGGCCCCCTTCGTGATATTCCCCCACCATTTTTTCAGCCTTACGCCGTTGTTGCGTTGGAAGATTACGGGGGCCTCGAGCTACCCCACCCAACAACAAATTAACAAACAAAAACAAAAGTAAAAGGTGCGTGCACAATCTCCAACGGGGAGGGGACACGTCGTGAGTCCGCAATTAATTTCCCGCTTAGGAGGGGTACAGCCACCCGGGGAGACGAAAAAAAACTATCAAACATAAAAAAAAAAACTCCCTCCCGCACGCACGTGCTTACAATCGCGGGCGGGGGGTGGGGTCTGACCCTAACCCATNCAATCGCGGGCGGGGGGTGGGATCTGACCCTAACCCATTTTTTTGTGCACAGTTTTTTGAGTCCGGACTCTTGACACGGGCCACCAATCTATCCCCCGACACACAGAGACGAGGCACAGCCCCCCTCGACCACCCGGCTGGTAAACCCCACCTCCCTAAGTACCATCCGCGCACCTCAGAGTCCCTCGCGTACAGCTCGCTCTCCTTCTCCTGAGTCATTGTCCCTTCTCCTGTCAGCTTCGCGGCACCCCTCGCTTCCTTTTCGATAGTGTTTCTCCTGCGGTTCCATCCTCTCTCGATAG